AGCACGCCAGCAGAAATTTAGCCCTGCCCCCAGTTTATATCAATATCTTTGCTTCACCGATACACACATGCTCGTGATTTTAATAGAACTCATCCTCACATTGAGACTGGAAAGTTTGAATATATCGCCTCGGCTCGCACGCCAGCCGCTCCCATCTTCGATGCCTTAATGATCTATTGATTCCGTGCGCATAAATAAATCCCTCGGAAATTAATACAACACAATTAATTTGTAGTATCAATTGTACTAAATTTGCGGAGGGGTAGACACTGTTAGTTGGTGATTATCATGAGAAAAGAACAAAGTGGAAGAGTTAATCTATCGAATTCTTTTAATTCCGTGTGAAGGGGCTTCTGTTGGAGAGCTTGCTGAGACAACAGAACTCGTGATCTCAAATTTTTCTATTTTTAACCCCTAGAGGAGGAATGGGAGGGAAAGCTCGTCGCTTTTTCTAGAAGCTGAAAAAGCAACAGAGAACGCAAAGGGGCGATTGGTGGCCCGTGAAAAGGGTAGAATATTCTTTGTTCGAGGGAGGAAGTGGGAAAGTTTAAGTCCAGAGTCAGCATCTGCCCAGTTCTTGCGAAAAGGTCTGTAGAATAGAGAGGAGCAGCGGTCAAATAAACTGTATTGAGGTTATTTTACTCCTAGCTCTCCAACTCGGGGATTGGTTGAATCCACCTACGCCATATATCCCAGACGTAAATTTCACGATATTTTATTTGATAAACGTCAATCACTTGATTATATTCAATTAACAAATTAGCTTCACAACTTTGAGAACTTTGAGAGAAATTGAGTCATTACTGGACAGTAAAGTTGGATAAGTAACACATCCTATCTAACATCAGCCGTGAATACGGATAGATGAAGTAGTGGACTAGAATTCATAATTCTCCGAGACAGAACATCATTCTGCGACTGCCGAAGACGAAATGAGAAGAGAAAAAAATAAAAATACTTCAACACAAAATGGAGAAATCATTCACGGTGTCGTAGTTCCGAGTGGTAGAATCTCTCCATTGGGCTATATGGGATGGGACGCAGCAGGCGATGTATAATAAGACTGTGATTAGCATTATTTACGAGCGGTTAACTATTGACTCATAAATCAAAACTAGCCGGTTAGGTTATAATGCCGATGCGTGTCGGTGAATGCGGGGGCTGCACCATCTTTTAACCTCAGTATTACCAACTTGGAAAACACGACGCATACCATTAGGGGCAATCGATAAAACCGCAAAGTGACTTTTCCGGATAATCTCAGTGGGTTTTAAACAACTTCACGGATTTCAAGAGACACCAAAGTCTATACTGAAACTCTCATCCGTTGATTATTAGCTCGAAGGGGAGAATGGGGTTATTTTTTACGAGATACTCATCGGGGTGCACGTACTGCGTGTGAGGTTGGTAGATAGAGAAGTGGTGGACAAGGAGTAAAAAGAATTTTTAAGATTTTGGTATTCGGGGCACGTTATCCAGGCAGTGGTACGTCATTCGCTCTGCTGCTAATCAGAACTAACCGCCGCAGCGTGCCTCGATTGCCGGAATAGTCCACCATAGCAGTGCCCTAGGAGGGACAGACCAGAGTGGAAAAGAAAGTGAAGGAGAGAAAAAAAAAAGGAATTCACTACGAAAGCCATCTTTGCATTTCTACTTTGGTACTGTGCGCCCCCTTTATAGCCCCTCGCCCCCATCGTGCATTCTCTTTTTTTCGCGTTCTTTCTTTCTTTTATCTCACACCAAACGCTTCAGGTATCCCCCACTTCAAGAAGCCTTCTTTTGTTTATAGAGACGATTTGACTTGCAAAGCGAAAGGAGAATCGGAAAGAGTCGAAGACATTTTATGGTAGAAAAGAAAATGCCGCCTTGGCACATCCGTGACGGCTTTAATTCGGTAATAATGATGCTAAAAACATTCCAACTGTACTCTGTCCGGAAATTTTTCACTTTGATTTATCATCCTGGTGTTAATATTCGTCGGTATGATTCATGAGTGCAAAAGAGTTATTTTCTATTGGTAATTTTGTTTTATCGCTTACCAGCCAATTGCATTCGTATTTATTTCGTCCATTTTATTCAAACAATCATTCTTTATCGTTGAAAATGACATAAAACCGCGACCCCGCTAATTGGTGGAATGTTTACATATAGTCTAAGTGTTGCATTCTGCATTTTACCAGCGGAGGCGGCAAGTGCGATTAACGGAAGCGGCACTTAATTAGTCGGCACCAAGAGAGAAAGAGCAATGCCTCGTATACGACCTGGAAAAGCCCGGGGCGTACTTCGTCACTCACTTATCCTCTTTCTACTGCAAAGTTGTTATGTATGTAAGTCAACTTGAGCGAGTTATGTACCTCTTTTGCAACACATAAATTAGTGGGATGCAATTTATTAACTCGGCGATGCTAAATTCAGCAACTTCATTATCCCGGCAAAATTAGAGGTAAAACAATTTTCTTGGGGGCAGGGGCGCGGGTGCTTTGAAGAAATGGAGGAGGGTGGGAGGGGGGGATGGGGCACCGGGGGTTGTTGTGAGGGAGAAAAATGAGGTGGTAAGAAAAAATTGAGAAGATTAAGGAGAAAGATCCATTTGGTTTGGGGTAGTGAGAGGCAGGGCACTGGTTCTCCTTCCCTAATTTACACAGCCGCCACATTGGCCCGTTCCACCCCGTTCCCTCGCGACTCATGCCGACGGAACTTCGCCGACGATTAAAACACTTTAGTAATTAACTAGGTCTCCTCACCTTTCGTGGTAACAGTTACTGACTTCTACCCCATGCCAGGGGATTTTTAGGGTGGAAAGAGGCCGTGAGAGAAGGATCCTCCAGCGCACTGTACCTGCACCTTGTGACGGTTATTTAGGGGTGGTTGGTTAGGGGTTGCCCGGGCAACGCTCAGAGGCCCTCTCTCACGTTGCCGTGGTAACCTTCAGGCTGATATTCACCTCATACCCAACTCGTCTTCCCATTTCCTCATTTTCTTCCATTCTCGCGTCTTCCGCCAGATTCAATTCGTTGAGGGTAGGGGGGTATATGTATCATAGTGTGTCGCGGATTTTACAGGTGAGGAAAAATTAAAAATTGAAAACAATGTTGAATATATGAGTCCTCTTTCTTTCTCTTTGGGAGATTTGATTTTACTCGTGGCCATCGATAGGAATGGAAAATTATGGAAATATCATCGGCACACTTGCAAATGAGGTGACGAACATTGAATTAAATTGAAATGTAATTTATTCGCTGAATGAGATGCGCAGTTTTCCTCCGGGTTATCCTGAATACTTCAACGTTCTCTGAAAAATAATAATGCTGTTGGGTTAGTAATTGATTTGTCAGTAAGTTTATTAATTATTAATGACGAAACACCACGGGCTATCGCTCTCGTAATCCTTCAAACCGTTTGACGTGTGTATCAAAAATTTTCGTTGAAGATGATGTGACAAATGTTTTTCACCACCATTGAGTTGAAACTTGAGGAATGATTTGATGGAAATTGCGTCAAGGTCTGAATGTCAAATATATTGATGAGATTTTCCCCCTTTATGAGGAGGAATGGTGGTTGGTGAGTGGGATGACAAGAGGTGAGGATCCTTATGCGAGTTATGAAAAATTGATCGAGTGCAATATCTCACGTTTAGGCGACCAACTTGGTGGAGAAAAGCAAGGCACGCGTTACCCATACATCAAAATTTCTAGCAGGTTTGTATGGACAGCCCCGAAGCAGACCTGTATGCTCGGTGGTGACTCTAATATAAAACTTAAATAACGATACACAGCCGCCATGACGGAAATGGTAGATAATCTTGTATGAATAAGGTAGATTCGCCTGGAGGGTAAAAGATGGTAGCGAGAGAGGGCTCAGCTGGGATGTACTGGGGAGATGGCCATGTGCATAGAGTCTTCTGTCGGTATAAATTTTCCTGAACATCTTTTTTATCGCTACTCTGGGTGAATAAAAAATATATAAAATTCTGTTCCATCCTTGGGTGTTGATCATAGAAAATGATATTGATGGGTTTTATAAATAATTTATATAGGTGAGAAATAGCTATCTCAGGAAATAAAATATTGTTCACATGGGATGGGAAAGCTCGGGGGTTAATTTTAATTTCCTAATTTTTCCCGTCCGACGTCTTGGGATGCTCTTGGCGCAGGTAATTTTCTCCCCAGGAGAGAATAGACGTAATTACTTAACGCCTCTGAAACCACCCCTCAACCGTCCTACACCCGCTCTTATTCCCTCTACCCCTCACTTATTAAAAGAGGATCGCGCCCCCGGGGCCTGGAGGGGTAGTGAGACTGAGGTATACGCCCCAGCATCATTCCTCTCCTAAATTTCGTTCACCCCCGAATGAAGAAAGTCTCAGAAAAAATTCTAACTCCTTAGCCTCCTCTCTCAAAAATTCATAGAAGAAAAAAAAAATAAATCTTTTACAGTCATCATCAGAAATGACTCAATTGATTATCTTAAGAAAATTACGAGATTCAATTCTTGGAGGAATAACCAGTCCATCATAAAACCTTAAAACTTATCGAAAAAAAATTGTTAAACGAGATTTGGGTATGATCCTGTAGAACAGTTGGATAGAATGATGTTGTCGGGGTGTTTCTCGTTAGACTGGGGGGTAGTTTTTGTCGCAGTCAGGTGAAAGGGAGGAGCCATCTTGCGGTGGGATTTGAGGCAGTCGTCAATTGATTCGTCCCCACCAGGAATATCCCCCTCCACCCCGGATGCCCAAAGCGATGTAGTAGGGGACGTCGATTCAATTCCAGGGTACAAAGGTAGACAGCGAGGGCGTGACTCAGACCGAAAACATTCCGCTGGGATTGGTTGAATGAAGCGGGGATCCCCACAACGCACTGCCCCGTTGGCCAATGGAAGTGGCACTGGGTGGGAACCCAAACGGGTTCTTCGTGTTGTTGAGATGCTGGTGGGGAAATGCCCGGTGTACATTTGAAACAGATAGTATTGTGCCGTTGGCTCGTGCCGTAGTGGTCCACCCAGGGCAAAGGACCCCTCAGACTCTTCCAATCGGTCTAACAACTAGACATCGCACTGACAGTTGTTAACGTGACAAACGGAATACTCTATTCAATTCGTTCATTGTTGAAGTGATTATGAAATAACGTTTGGATAATCTCTCATTGTAAATTGTGTCTAGAAGTGTATTTGTACATTCGATTTTTGGCTTGTGTGAATGATTTGAAAAGTGTTGATAATAAACGCATCAGGGACTTCAACAGATTTAGTGATTTCAGGAAAATTATTGCATTTGGTGGGGGATGTTATCTGAGTCTGTTTTAATGAAAATACTGAGGTTGTTGATACAACTGTCGACCTGAAGACTTGTGATTAGGTTGTGATTAGCAATTGAGAAACCGCTGGATTGAAAACTCGTTTCACAAATTCCCGGTTTAAGTTTTTGTCGGTTGAGACGCGCTAACCGTATTTAATTATCCACGTGATTTCTGTAATATAATTTTGAAAGCCAATTCTGAACTATCGACAACTTCCTGATATTTCATAGTAATTACATGAACTAGTAATAATCATGCTGGGCATATGCAATGAAACATTGCACAGTTAATTGAATCCAATCCAAGAAGGTAAAAGTGTTTGTGAAAGGTTTGAGCGCTGGCCGTCGGACCCCAGTCCAGAGTTCAAGACCGGCTGTTGTTCCGAAATCCGCGTATGAATAATTCACCGACAAATGAAAATTCATCCGGTCAGTGGAATTCATCAAATCACCTGAATGTCAACGACAATAAGAAGGCGTTGTAATTACCTCAGGATCAGAAGAACGTTGTGATAAATGAGGGTGTCAATATCATTGAGGAAATAGTGTCCCCGACTGGGGTATTAATCCCAAAAATAATCACGTTGGTGCCCAACATGGTTTTAGAACCAGGAGGTGGTCTGTCGTTCCGACCGCCTCCTGTTGGTGGAACAGCCAGCACTGGTGGCTCATTGCTGGCTCCAGCCAGGCTGTTCCAGAGGGCGACACCTGTATTTCCGTTCCATCTAGGATGGCCACCGCATCATGCCGTACTTGGCAATGTGCAGAGTCAGGTGCAACAGACAATGCAGGCACAGCATCAGGCTGCTGCTGCTGCTGTCAGGTTCCTCAGCCATCATCATCCACATCATACCCATCCGGCACTGGGGAGTCATCCACTGGTGCCCGGCATGACAGCGCATCATCCGGGCGCACATCATCTTCATCATGCTGGTGACCATCCGGATGAAGATGACGACAAAAAAGGTATTGCATGATTTTTGAGATTGTTGGGCAGATCTTCATTTAGGATAGCCATCGGAGTGGTTCAACTGATAGAATCTTTCTTTTTCAATGATTGGCAGGTGTGATTATTTTAGTCAAGCTGCCAAATTAATTGTTGCAAGTATTGTATCCATCGAATTCCCAAGTTAACGATCCTGTCATTCATTGATAAATTGTAGCGTCACGATTTTCCATTGATCCGTGTCGATTATCACTAGGAATTTCCAGGGAAATCAAGAACAATGTCCGAGAAAACGATCCTCGGGGATTCCGGTAACGCGGTCAATCATAAAATCGTTCCTACCAGTCTCGCGGGATCACTTACCACAAGGGGGGCACAGGAGCTATACGCTTTCAGTTAGATCTTCACACTCTACAGACTCGCTTCCATCATTCCGACGGACGAGCCTCACGTTCCGCCAAGTTGGGGTGGAAATCTGTTTTTTACGTGTTCCCATTGGTGAGACTTCTCCCTTCTTCTGTTGGGTTGTTTATTTTCTTGAGCAGTAAATCGAGAGCTATACGCTGCGATTGCCCAGGATTCTTCACTCTTTGGGATTTATGTTGGTTTCACTCTTGCTCGCTCTTACCTGGTTTTTCATGGAAGGTTTGAGTTGATTATATATTTAAGTAGATGTTTGATGCCTTCGGATGATGAATTTTTACCCAAATCAATCAGTGATCAGACCTGTTGACAGATATAAAAGCCGTCATTATGGAAAATAGAATAATGGGGCAGTCTTTGTGACGATGTTTCGTGACGGGAGCCCACAACAGGTTCATAATTAGATCGGCTCAACTAAATAACAGTCACTCATAATTTTCGGGTCTCAGACAACAGATGTCAGAGAACCATCGGCAGTTAAGAACATATTTCCCGGTGCTTCTTCGAGATTTGTCGATATGGTCCTGGGGTCTTAATCCCAGCAAAACAGCAGTCTGTGACGCCAGGAGGACTTGGCAGGAGCATCATAATAATCCTGCGTGAATTTTGTTTAATTCCATCCCTACCACAAAATTCATGGTAATCGTTAAATAATGACAGGATATATACTCAGCACTATTATCCCCATATATCGAAAAACTTGGAATAATTTCAAGATGAGCCACATTTCTGCTAAAAGTCCCCCTAAAGGCAGCAATCACGACGTCTATAAATATGTAAAGAGCTAAGCAAAAACTAACTGCATTATAATCTGTGAATTTTGTGTAAGAAATTGTATTAAATTTCAAAGGATATTTACGTATCCAACAATGCGAAGTACCGCAGGATCATGTGAAGATGAAGATGAAGCTAGTGAAGTTGATGAGGAGACAAGAAGTCCCAGCTCCTGATGGTAGAAGATAGAAGTAAGAAAAACCCTTTTGAAAGGGAAGAACAAAACAAGCCGGCTAGGGGGTAATAACTTAATTTAAACTAAACTACAGTTTAATAATTCTCAGCCAAGCCGTCCGTGGAAGATGCAGCAATGCAACCAGCAATTTAAGAGCCGCCGTTAACTGCCGGTCGTTAGTCCCTTTTCAAAACTTCTATCCTTATTCACCCTGAGTCACACACACTCACACATTCGATGTCTTCGTTCCACTTGCACTCATTCGATTCGCTCTCTTCATCTTACCTTTTTCTCCGGCACAAACACAAACACATCGTCCACCACGATCCACTCATGTCTTACCTATGCGCTACACCACTATATGCTGAAGAGAAGATAAAAATGAGATACTCCCATGTGCCGAGGTGAAGCTTGCATGTCCTCGTGGATAGCGCCGGGCCCTGGGGCACCAAAATCTCTCGCCTCAGTGTAACCAACAAATTGAATCGTCCAAATTCTCACCCTCTCGGAAACATTCCACTAACCACTACAGAAAAAATAAACTAATTCTCTTGACTCATCTCCATCATCTGTTCACGTTTCGCCCAGATTCACGTGAAATCGTCTGTCTTTTCGAATTCTCCAATAACTTGGCAGGAATAAAGAAGCGCTTTGACAGGTGGACCAATGGATGAGACTAGAATGCGTGTCAGTTGAATTGTTCCTGACGGTTAAAACGCAAGATGATAACAAGAAGACGATAACTTCAAAGACAAGGGTGTGGATTATCATAGAGGCAAAGGATGCTATATTCTCTGATGTGCGTGATAATAAAGTCCCTCACGCGATCTCCCAAGCTGACGTCTGTTGATTCTCCCAACACAGAGACTTTAACATACCAAGTGTAATAATTATCACAACGACGTTTATTCTCTGCTTTTTTTTTTCAATGTTTGGGGAGTGAATAATTGAGCTGCAATATGTTTCCGTGATAACACCCGTCTGTAAAATCGGGTCGGAGATGGAGTACTTAAGTATAAAAAAGAAGTTGCGTCTCAAACTGTCACCCGAGAGCAGCGCTATATCTTTTGAAGGGGTCTATCGGTATTTCTCTTATTTTTCATGTTTCCCTCTCATCAACGCTCGCCGTCCAGTGTTATATCTTCTTCTCCGTAATCTACCAGCTTTAACTATCATTATATGACTTCATTACATTCGTATTCTTATGTACAGTAGCCGACAATGTTCGCAATTCGATAAAAAATTTAATGCCATGGATGAGAATTCGATTTGAGGTTCAACCATTCGTGAAATTCAATTGAATTTGAATTCAATACAATTAAATTGTACTTCCAATTTAATTTCGAGTAGATTAACCATTGACAGTCGTTGTCGCCTGAATTTTGAAACTTCCCATTTTTTATTTAATTCAGGCGAACAATTCTCATAAGCCTGTAGACTAGTGATTAAAATTCAATTCAATCCCGATGGAAAGATATGTATATAAATACACGACAGGTATATGACGACATATAGTGTCCATGGAAAATTTATACATGTAGAGAAAAGTACGGAGTGATTTCAAAGTTCACTTTGACTTTCTCAGCCAATTATCATTTGTCAATTATGACAATTTGCACCAGTATTATTTTCTTAGAGTATATATATATATATAGATATAGATATATATTTAGGAATTTTCAATCGTACGCAGTGAAAAAATTGCGAGACCATATGTACTCATAGTATAAATAGAAGGAAATTCTTCTCTGTAACCCAAGGAAAACATTAATTAAATAGTCGGAATGGCTTGAGCACGAGGTCTGTTACAGCCGACGGAGCATAGATACGCTGTATTTATATGCCCTGCTAATTGTCTTGAATGATAACGATCCTGAATTACAATTGTTCACGAGTTCGCACCGACGTTACAAGTGGAAAAGGGTTCAAAAACACCTCGCCCCTCCAATTTCCCATTGAGCACCGAGGCATTTGCTTACATCAATTCGAGTCACGGCGGAAATTAAAACGAGTTTCTGTGTATACGATACTGCATTAGTTCTCTCCGTTGTACTCATTTTTTTACTCGATTTGTACATGACAGAGACGATAATGCTTGTCACTGAAGTATAATTTATAGTCCTCTCAATTAAGTTTAATGTTGTTAGACACGTATTTATTTATCATCAAGTATTTTTATCGTGTAACGACACATTTTTATTATCGCTTCAGTGATTTTGGGAAATTCCGAGGAATCGCTGCCCCGAACTACCTAGATTTTATAACTCCTATCTGATTGAAATTTACGTTAATTAACATTTTCAATTCTGTAATAAATTCTTTAATAATAGAGTCAGAAACAATTCAACGGGTGTAATCATGTAACGTTAAAGGCAAATTGTGCGGTTTACGATATTGTACAATGGTGATATATACTTGTGTTTCATGTAATGGGTGAATTATTTTGTCGCGCGTTAAACCTAGGAAAAGAGTACGAGCGATAATTAAAATTGTTATTTATGACATTGAGCCCTAATCGTCCCGGTTCTCTGGCACAACGGGCATTAATTAGCAACGCCCGGATTACTCCGTGAGCCTCATAATATAACGCGATACCCTCTCCGTTCGCCCAAGCGACCCTACAGTTGTTTCAAAAAAACGACAACTGACAATTTATAAATTCTGATTACATTGATATCCAACTATAATTTTACCACTAAGCTATTTTAATCCCGAGTTTCACTAGTTTCATAATTGCACCTCAATCCGACTGATAATTACCTATTGGATGATTTTCCTTGCTTCGTTGATTGAAAATTAACATATCCAATACTCACAGGCTGATTAAAAAATTCATTCAATTTAATTGCTGCCTTCGGTGGAAATTTATACTGTTGATCGATCGTAATCATTGACCGATGTCCGACGAATGCCCAGTGATAAATTCCTGATTCATAGTCATCATGCAAAGTATGGAATATTAAATAGTCTGAATTGATGATGATATGAATGTAAATACCCGTCAAAGCTAGTGGATAAAAAAAATGGAAAAAAGAAGAGATGCATGAAAAGTCAGTGGTTATGTTAATATTTATTACCAACATCTATCAATGATATTAATTTACAGTAAAACGTGGAAATAAGAAAATCACTCTGACAAGCTTGATGAAGATGATGGAGTACTGGGGTAAAAGTGAGCTCTGGTTGTCACGCATTGGCGTTTAAATTTCGCGCAAAAGAGAAATTATAATATTTATTGCATAAATACTGGGTTGAATACAATTCACCACCCTCCCTTAGCCTATCTTCAACCGTTAGCATTGGAGATAATCGGTTTGGTTGCGGGTAAAAGTCAATTCTCGGTTCTTCTGATGCGCACGCGATTCACGTTTGAGTGAAAAAGAGACACGATAAAACGAATAATAAAATTGAAAAAAAAAAAAAACAGTAAGATAAAGGGAGGAATGAAGATGGGAGTAAACATCGAGTGGTGGTTCTGGATATTTTTTTTTCCCCAGGGAACTGGTGGCAATCGATATCGACCTTTACCTTTGTAAACGAATGATCCGATTTCGATCGTACTCGTTTAAAACAATCGTCTCAAGTAAGGAGTATAGGTAGCCCGATCCCGAGCGTCGCGTTACACGCAACGGAGATAATATTCTTCGGGAAATGACACGCCAGGGGGTAACAACCCATGGTTAGTAATTGGGCTACCCGAGCCATGGCACGCAACTCTTTTTTAACCCCCTTTGTGCTACCAACGTGCCTGTTTTTTTTTTTTATTTTGCACATTTTCAAAAATAATTCCAACGTGACAATGGGACATGCAGGGTACGCGGATGTGACGTCCGTTTTATCGACGACATCTTGATATTCCCAGAAGCAGAAGTGTGACACCCTGTGAGCGTGCCCCCTCGACCTGAAAATACATGGTTTCAATTAAAATCAGAGTTTATCATATTTATTATTTTTCATTATTTTTCACTGTGTCGTCATTTATTCATCTCTTCGAGCTAAAAATATTGATAAAGCGGTTTTTTTTTAAGTGGCTGAAAAATGATGAGATTAAGTGAAATTATGTAAAGTACATCATTTTTCCATACACGAGTACGTTCTCAGCTTAACTCCCATCGAGATATTATAATAACCAGTGGTTAATTGAAGCATAATTTTTTTGTACTTGAAAGGTTAATAAAATGGTGATTATCGAGTGCTTCCGAACTGAAATTCCGCGGGAAACGACGGCTCAATTTACCGCTTGAAAAATGTTAAATGCCCCCGCGTACATGAGTGAGTTTTTTTCTTATTCATTTTTATTCATTTTTTTCTCGAGTTTAAGCCGGGAGGCAGAAATCGACTGCATCTCAGCTCAACTTTTACAAACGTTAACTTCCCCTTTGGGCATCGCGAAAAACACCACGGCGACGTTGCTCAGGAATAACCTCAAGGATCGCACGCCATACCCAGGGTATTAATGTATAATTAACTGGCCGGCTTGATCGGTATCAACAAAAAAGAATTCGCCAAAGAATTATATTCAAAAAATGCTAAACCGTGGCGCCTGTCTTCGTCATTGCCGATTGCCCTACGGCCTCGTTGAAAATCCTAAGATCAATACAACAAAACTCACAAATACAATCTAGAATAACCATAAATCAATTCATTACCTGCCATTGCTCCTGAGTCAATTCAATTAGTGAGTGTGGGGTGCCCCAGTGATAAATTACTATTCATATTCGGTGAATGCATCTCGGCGATTAAACTGTCGAACAGTTCCGTGAAACGCTAGAGCAAAAACTGCTAAACCCGTAAATAAAGTAAAACGGCTTCCATGAAGTTAAAAGAAAAAATTGATGAAATCTCCAAGAGAAAGAAAAAAAAAATGGAGTAAACTGGGTGTATCGTAAGACGTCGTTTACACGGTGCCGATCTGTCCGTCGAGGAGTCTTTCACATATGAGTGCTATATAATTATACCTATATAGTGACGTTACAGAGGAGTCCTTTAACGACATTCAAACGAGGGACGGGTACGTCGGCAGAAAAGTCTCGGGTTCCTCTTCAGATCATTGCATGTTGCCATGTACTCAAACGATTACACGTCTTCATATCTCCCTACCTGAAAAAGTGAAAATTCTGTTGAACAGACACAACAACGTCAGTGGGAGAGATATGTGTATGCCAGTGGCGGGGCCTTTCATTAACGTAAAGATATTTAATTCAAACTCGTCCGACGGGGACGGTTGTAACACTCCGAGAGTTGGGAGGGTGAAATGTGTGTACACTGTGTAGCAGGGAATAGAGAGAGATAGACCTCTCGGTGGATTGGGGGGCGGGCAAGGGGGGGCAGGGGGTGGGAAGTAGGGGGGTTGAAACTGGGCGTCAGAAGGATTGATGGTGTCTAGATGCAAATGTAGTCAGTCCGGCACGCAAACCCACCGTATATACAACCCACCTACCGACGCCTTATGCCAGTTAACGCCTTACAACTTAATAATCCTCTTCTCACCCAAAAAACCTTCTTTCAAATCAACTACTTCCCCTCCATTTTATTTCTAATCATACCTTTAATCATTGATAATTAACGTCAATGAAATGCTTACGGTGCAGAGAGGGTAGATTATCCGGACGGCGTTGATGATCCGGCAATGAGCGAGCGAAGAAAATTTGTAATAGAAATGATGTAATTGGTGTCAGTTTATTGCCAAATTTTCTAAAATATTAAACGATTTTTGAGAAGCTTTACCGTATATGGAAGAGGGTGTTCAGTTGGTCCAGAAAGTTTTCACAATGGCGAAATGTTTTTCCTAGAAATTTATCTGAAATCAATGAAATGTTTGTGAGGCAATACATAGTTTCCACTTTTCCTCCGAAAAATTTGCATGATTGTAAAATAGTTTCCACGAGAGATTTCACTTGCATTATTCTATTTCACAATATAATTTTACGTTGCACTCCAGATAATTTTTTCACGAGTTCCGTAGAATTGTTTTCATATAATTGTTATCCAGCTATAACGTAATCGCTTGGGGCAATAGTATATTCGAAAGTTTAAATAATCCGGGTAGGACTGATGACGCTGTTAGGAGTAATCGATGGAATCGACCGACAAAGTTGTCGTAATTCGGGAAATCCCCCAGGAGATACAGGTGTTCCCTCGGAATTTTGTGGACCGTATTAACAAAAGTCAGTGCTTTCCTACAAATGCACGGGTATTTCTGGGTTCTCCCCCGAGAAGTGACAAACACCTCTGGTCATGTCGTTCTCGGTGCTAATGACTTTGTTGGCTCGCGCTTAACAAGACTGCCTTCTAAACTTGGTACACATAACGAACATTTTGCTACTTGGCACTTTCCAACTTGTAGACTATCACATTGATGATTACATCGCGTTACATGGAGCATTATCTTTTACGTTAAGGAGTATACAAACGTGTGCCAAGTATTTTTCTCTCACGATTATAAGCGAGAGTGATGCTCATCTCCCTCGACTCCTGCCAAAACTAGGTTATAAACATTCCAGTTTTTCATTTCTCGAGAGAATTCCTATCTGATTCGTAAAATTAATAGTCACGTTACTCCATTCGAGTCACTCCATTCGACAGACTTATCTGATGTATGTGAATTAGACGTTTGATTAACCGGTTTTACCTATTTTTAACGCCAATTGAATAAAAGCTGAAATGTCAATTAAAGCCGGTTAAATAATAATGATCGGGTATGAGAAACGATAAAACGCAAGACAAATGAAACGACGATGAATATATACGCTTAACTGAGGAAAACGTTAATTATGAAAATATCTCGAGTGAATCGGAGGTGGTTGGGCACGGGTATGGAATTAATTACAAACTTCTCGCCCCTCATAAAGCCGGGGTATAATCGACGACCAAAACGACAAAAAAAAAATGATCGCACAGAGGTATGTCGTTGTAATCAGTTTATACCTACACATTTACGATTTTTCATACTTTTTTCATTGTTATGATAGGGCGAGTGGTCAGACGCGATGCAGTCTCGGTTGCGTGTACACGCGACATGTCTTAACGTCATAATCCTCACTAACTTGTCCTACCTACCCTCACCCCCAGCGGTATCAACAAGCGTATGAAATGTTTTTCTGTCGTCAAATCGCCAGTCTGAAAAATTGACGCGAAATTGAGAGGAAGTGGCATGCACTCTCAGCCACTTACATCGAAAAAATTGAATTCACCGATGAAAAAGTTGTGAATATTATTGAACTTTATTATCGGGTGAGAGTCATTTTTTTTTCTCCTCTCGGGTAATTCATCGGACAATTTTTCTTAAAAAGGTGGAAAAAAATAAAATTGAACTTTTTCATCCTGAAGGGTTTCTACCCACGAGACGATCCTTCAAGCTGCCACTGTGCGCCTGGCACGGACGTGCTCGTTCTGGATTATGGATTATCAATAATGAGAGTCGACGATCGATACCCATCGGTACGTTGGTTTAGTTTCCGCCATGTTTGTCTCATGAAAAGAAAGAGACTGAGTCTGAGGTCAGGTTTTAATAAATCGCCGGTTAATCACAATTCCTCTCTTTCGCTTGTTACATACCCCTAGAAAAAACATTGCAGTAAAACCGATGAAATCTTCACACTGTCCTCAGCAAGAAGCTGGAGCTCTGAAAGAACGAGGTCATAAACTCTGGGACAATAAAAGTCCCTCAAGAATTCTCGTTCCTTTTAATCCAACATGCGGAGAATTGAATTTCACGGAGATGTGTTAGAACCGCGAAGCTCTGAAAACATTGAATCTCTAAAATTTCTCATTCACCATTCGCATAATATTCATCATCAAACAGAAACCTTATTCAATTTATGAGCTCACCTCTATTGTTCGTAACGCTATAAAATTTTTCGAATAGAATTGAAAATGTAATTGAGGAGAATAAATATTGTGAAGGTAATAATAAATGCGATGGTATCACGATGAAGAATCTTATTTCGATTTTCTCCATGTCGCAATGCCCACTTGTCCCCCAGGATGGGCTAAAGAGAGAAGCAGGAGGGTTGTAAAATGGAGGGAAAAAAATGCCAGCATAACCAAAAGCTGAGGAAACGCGGGGGAGGAGAACAGAAAAGAAACGAAGAGATAAGTCCATCGCGAACCGTGGGGTCAATCATAATTCTCGATCTTTTATTCAATTCCCCGGCGCCGGCATTAGCATACATATACACATTGTGGGAGAGAGAGAGGTAAACAATCGTCGTTCGAAGATTCCCCAAAGATGATAACGCATTTTGCCGCCATTGGGTATCCGAAGCTAGAGGCAGAGCAATATGGAACAGTGCTCGTAAAATTATGAAATTTTCATGTTTATTCAATATTGGATGTTATACATATCAAAATGCAGAGGGGTTACGGGTCTTATCATATGGCAGGGTCAGGGCCACAGATTTCCAACGGGGGAATGAAGACTAATTTTATTACTCGACATTAATCCCCATTCGCATCAATCTTCAGACGATGGAACCAACAAAAATGATAATGAAACACCCAAGAAATATCAAACGCCAAAAAATAGAGAAAAGACCCTGTATGTTCTATTTTTTTCAATACCTCTCTTATTTCATTGCAGGATGTGACGGTGAGTCTGATGAAGGCGGAAGCAAAAGGAGAAGGAGTCGTACGAATTTCAGTAGCTGGCAGTTGGAGGAGCTAGAACGTGCCTTCCTCTCCAGTCACTATCCAGACGTTTTTATGCGAGAAGCATTGGCTGTGAGGCTCGAGCTTAAGGAGAGTCGTGTTGCTGTAAGTTTTATCCTTCATCACCCAGCGGATTTATACTAAAAAAAATAGCCATGCAAAAAATCCACTTCCGATCCCACTGAACCTCTCCTTCGCATCTCACTGAGTTTGTTTTGACGTGTGTCGGTTACGGCTCTATTAGATGGGTCCTCGAGATAGTCCTCGAAAAATTGAGAGGTTCTCGGCTTTCAAGTACCTCTCAGTGTCATGATACAGAGACTCCCGACACCGTACGAGGGTAGGCGATGGCTCCTGACCGCTCGACCCTTGACTCTTTATCTCGAGGGGGTAGTTGGTCCATCTGTTCCTTTCAGTGGTCATGTATCCAGCATGTAGCAGTACCTTATGGGTGGGGTGTCCATCCGGAAAAAGGCCCATCTCGATTCGATTTTAAAACGATAAATTTCTACGTTACTCCCCAATGACATCACCAATGACTAAATCCACTGGTTATTTGGCCCCCTTTAATTCTCCATTGTATTATAAACCTTACAAAAAGTATCCATCACTCAGTGCTGGTGGATTTAGACGTGAAAATTACCCTCGTACAGTCTGAAAATCCCGTACGACACCCACACACCTTCAACACCCACAAACAACTCCTCAAGAATTCAGTCAGAAATCGATCTCCACTCACTATCATAATCCTGTCATGGCCTCCAGCAAAGGCGGCTATTTCACTAACTCCTCATCCCACGAAACATTCACGCGAATGGAGAAACGATGAGGTACAAAGAAAGCACGAGAAAATAGATTAAAAATTAAAAAAAAATGGGGGTGGCCTTCAATTTCACGGGCTGCTGGATGAGTGGCGCGTATGACCGGTATATTTATATTTATGCGGTTAGATACGCTTGATAGAATGTAAGGGAGGATATAAACGTACGTGCATATGCCGACCCTACGGTATTTCAGGGTCCGAGATAATGGGCCATAGTGAGAATGAAAAAAGAACAAAAAAAAGTCCCTCATCTCAATAAGGGGGTGAACAACGAGATCGTACGACACTGGTGACAGCCTCATCCTCTGACGCGCTTCTTTCTTCACCCTATCTCCATCGTTAAATGAAAGAGATTAGATAAAATCCACCACATGTTTAGATTCAAATCTCAGATATGCATTAATGCGTGACATAATGAAGTTGTTTGGTCATGTCGAGTTGACTCGATGTCAGTTGTAGTTGAGGGATAAAAATGAAGTAGGGAATAAAAAAAAAGGCATATGTACGTGAGTATCGATCCGGGATATCGCGTGAGAGACCACCGGGAGTTGTACCTATTACCGTGGTTACTTCCACCAACTAATGTCTTCATTTCTACTATTTTAAATTCAACTCCTAACGCCCACCAAGAACATTCATCAGCTGATGTAGAGACCCCATGAACCACCACAAAAATGCATTACAAAATCCACTCATATGTTTATGAGTGTTCATTCCTGTGAAAGTCCCCAATTTTCTCGAACTTGCTCGCTCAAACACCCTGGTGATCCTCATATGTTGTTAACAGGTGTGGTTTCAAAATCGTCGAGCAAAGTGGCGAAAGAAGGAGCACACGAAAAAGGGTCCAGGAAGGCCGGCGCACAACGCTCATCCCCAGAGTTGCAGTGGTGAGCCAATTCCCCCTGAAGAGTTGAGAAGAAAAGAGCGTGAGAGGCGGCAAAAAAAGCTGCTGAAAGCCCTTGAGAGACAACAGCGAAAACTAGCTGCCAAGGTAAACTATTTTGCCTCGAAAACTTAAAACTTTCCAAGGCCAATCCTCAAGTAATTTAAACTTGTATCTCCATGAGATTAAAAAACTTGAATTTTTTCTTCATTGTCTATCCTAATAGGGTATCTCTGTGGACCTTTCAACACTAAAAGCTGACTGGGAAGCGAGAAGTGCAGCGGCATCGAGTGGTGGCTCATTAAATGGTCATCTGAGTGGATCATTTGGTCAATTGGGTGGTTTGAACGAAGGTAGCAGTGTATCGGGCTCGGGAAATGATGCCAATGAGGAGATTGATGTTGTTGGGGGATTGGACTCGTCTTCGGAGAGTGGTAGTGAGCGAATGGACTCGGCAGCGGATGGTTCGATTGATGGTGAGTGTTACTCAAGACTGACATTAGATCAGAGTGACCATGGGAGGACATCACACTCATCAGGTGAGCATCAGAGTCCAGAGCGCGGCTTGAGTATCAACCTGGATCTCAATCATCAGCAGGGAATTCGACGGTGGGGCTTAAGCCTTCTGGAGCGGCGGCGGGAACTTGTTAATCTGAGTAATAGCGTTGCAAGGAGATCGACAGAGAGTCCTAGAAGTCTAGGGCGGAGTCCGTTGGACAGGAATGACGATGAGGTACAGAGTGGGAGCATTGATCTGTCGGTCAAAGGGAGAGACGACAGGAGACGACTCAATCCATTCTCAATCGATAGTCTTCTTGGTAATAATCGAGCGAATACACCCAGAGATGTTCAAAATCGCTCGTCAACACCAACTAATCTCACTAATGGCAGACGATCTAGTTCACCTACATCACCAATATCTGTACCAACATCACCATCCACTACGTAGTCCTGTCGTAACTGTGGAGATGTGTGAACTCTATCCGACGATTTATCCATGGAGACTGATTGAATATCAATATTCGACATATCTGCTGTGAGTGTAATTGTCGATGCCACCCCATTACCCCTCTCAGGCAACAAAATAAATGTCAGTGTGCAATAAGAAAGTGAGCGTGGAAAGTTCAATTGTTGCTCTTGTGTGAGCAACCAATATCTATCGATAAATCGACCTTGACTCTGAGAGTTAAATTATTATCGGGTGTATTTATAATGTAAATAGTCAAATGATTTTTAATTTAAAACGGAGATGAATAAACAGATGTTATCGTGAGAATATTAGGCGTTAGACCTTTCATGGGGATCATCAAACATGGGAGGATTAATTTAATGAAGTAGAAGAAGAATGTTCACCTGATTGCCGTGTACATAGATTGAACGTAGGGCATCACGTAAATGGGGATATGATGATAATAAAATTCGACGATATAGTTGTTCAATGAGCACTAAAAAAGAGATTCTCTTGTAAAACTTTTAGCAAGCGATGATGAGCGAGCAAAATTGTGCAGTTGAATTACAATCGAATAAGTATTTGTTTTTTTTTCTGAAGAAAAATTGATGATAAAGAAAAATGATAAAGAGATTAGAGAGATGCCATAAATGCTCATGACGTGCAAAAATACAAAACATTACCAATAATACCCAATTATAAATATATTAATTTATTCTCAAGAAAAAATTACAAAGTCTAATTATTGAATGACACATTATTCTATTATTCCCGTTGATTATTTCCAATTCATTAAGAGAGTCTATTCACTCGCACTCACCAAAGAGAAGGAAAGGGAAACCATGAGGCTGATTTAACCTTCCAAAGTGACGACGCAGTACAGCCAAGGTACAATGGATGGACAATGAGTCGCTGCTCGTAATTTACTTTATGAAGTCGCGGGAGGGGGTACATGGTGGAAGGCAATTGCGCTGGCCCATGTGGTGTTTGTGGAACCTCGTTCAACGACAAAGGCCCATTGTGCCTTGGGCAAAGCCGCAATAATATTATTAGCCATATACCATACGCTTACTCTTGCCCCGAAGCATCTCCATCTCGACGCCAGAAAGGGCTCTAAAGTCCAAGTGGTCTACTCCACTGAAGACTCAATTTAGTTGGCCTCTACCTCTGGCTTTCCTTTTCAAATATTTATTCACATTATATCTTGTCCACGTTATGCCATTCCCAAATCGTTTGCCATTCAAATCATCTTTTAATGTCCCCTTCTCTCAATTTACTTTTCCACTCTTTGCATCTAATACTTCCCGTTATTCATTTCGATTCAATTAATTGACTGCAAATGAATTCACTGTCAATTCGTGATGCTAAGGTTATACTTGATGCTTCAGACTCTTGACAATAACATTCCCAATTAGCTGCAAACTGATCTCTGCATCTATAACATCTATAATCACTTTATCAACCAGAAATTGATCAAGCAATTGTAAATGACGCTGTTCCGCGCGAAATTGTGAAACGAATAACCGTATGAGTGACTTCATCATTAATCGTACTAATTATCCGAGTGGGTATCAATGCGATCAATTAAAAAAACTCTATGAAACACCGTATGTGTGAATCCGGCAGGTGTTTGACCCAGCGCCCTCTAATCGACGAGATCCACGAATAATTTACCTTCCTCCGATGGTTCCCCCGAAGGGACGCCAGCGATTTAGCGGCCTCTCAAGAACCCTCTTCACCCAGGACTGGTGTTGCCCTCCGAATGAGGAGAAGCGGTACCTTCCACGCCAAGCGATGCCCTATAAAAAAAAAAGGCCAGGTGAACTCTACATATACCCACTATTTCTCACTTCTCTGGGCCCCAATATGTCTTTCACTTTACCCTCCCTCACTTTAAAAATTGTTTAACGACGATTTATTGCGGGTCGGGAGTGGCCGAGAGGATCGTGCACCGAAGATCCAGTTTGATCAGGCAGATCAAGTGAGGGAGAAGAATGGGGTGGGGATGATGCTGGGGCCTTATAAAGTTCCCGATATATCCATTGGTACCTCTCGCAGTTATTATGGTTGAGGTTAAAAGGTTGAGAGCTCACATAAACCACTTGGTGCGGTCGATCGACGATCGATACCGATAGTTCCCAGAGGTACTCAACTATCGGAACTCACGATCTTTCCGGTGAGTGGGATGGCGGGGGGCACGGAGGGGACCGAGAGGTCCAACGTGGCCCGCCGATGGGACCGGCGCGCGTACACATCGGGTGGCCCCACCCACGCCGAAACGTCGCGCCCTCTGCATAACCTCAAAACCCATCTCCCTGATATTCACAAGTTTCTACATCATTTGCAGTTATGTACTACCAGCACCCATCAATATGCATGTATTCGTCGCGACGGGAGTATCGATTGTCCGTCTCGTATCGATTTCTCCTTCATCATTTTTCTCTCCTAATGGAGGTTCAAAGAACGACTTAATAACAATGTATATGTATACAAACGCAAATGAATTGCTCATTCAATTCCCCTCGGTGAAAAAAAAAAAGTAAACTCGTATTTAGGTGGGTACTCCGGGTTGAATATAATTTCGACATGTTATTTTTTATGAGTCTGGACATTGGAATATTGAAAAAACACCAGAGTTCGTGGTATTTGGTGTCTTTTTCCTTCTCTCGTTAGTTTTCGTATATGCCTCTCTCGGGGTTGTATTGGGTATCCAGGGAGATGGGAGATAAAAAATTAATAGCCGCCTTTTGGCAAAGCAGGCAAAACGAGCATCTCTCTCACTTGCTCCCTCGCTTTGCTTCCACCCTCATTTTTCCACCTCATCCCAGGATCTGTGCCCAAGTCGACGATATAACTGGCGGGAACAAATTTTATTACCGAATTTTATTCCGCTTACGCTTGTGAGATCAATGATACGGGGGCTGCCAATGCTGGTTAGCCCTATGGACTCAGTGCACATACGCCAAAGTATCATGGTGTTTTGAGGAGTCCAAAAAAGAAAACAGTAAAAGGGTATAAAATCAAATCAATTTTCGATCTGCCCTCCGGGTGCTATAGGCAACGATTATATTCACTTTTTCCATGTTACTCTGACGATAACGCATAACACGAATAAAATAACCGAACTGAAGATACGTTGTTTGGAGGTTTTTCGATGGTGTGTGGGGCAACGTTGCACTAAAAAAGACGGGGAAAAATTCTCGCGGCTGTATAACTTGGCACGGTAATATCAACGATAAGTATCTCGAGACGGTTCTTCGAGGCACATTGAAGGAGTTGGATAAGGTGGTAGGAAACCCGCTGGGAAGAGGGGTTGGGTGGGGTTGTGCTGTACGATCCAAACATACAACACGTTACTCTGATGGCGGCCAGCCAGAAGTAAATCTAAGGTTTACGAGGCATGTACCCGCCTCTTACTAGCACCTCCTCGAGCCGTGTGGTTTTGCCCGTTTCAACCCACCGATGTGGTTTTTTTCATATGCCAAAGTTCCAACGCCCGCCAGAATGTGCGATATGTTTCTCATAATAAATCGTCTGGTGGGACACGAGCTATGCGGATCTCCAAAGGGTCCAATACCCTGGATTTGTTCTTTTCAATGCATAATAATGCCAAATTATTTAATCATCACCATTTGATCATAAATAATAGTATCAAAACTAATCTACAGGCTTTCATATGAAAATCAATTTGGGTTCAATCCATTTATTTTGATGAGAGTCGTTAGAATGTGTCTGGCAAACCAATTCAAGAGACAAAACAATTTCTCATTTTTATTTCAAGTTTGGATCAAATGTTTTATTCTATTTTTACCTGACAGAATTGAGAGTGAAAAAAACTGACTTAGGTATATTGACCTACCAGGAAACGACTTCGGGTTGTTCTTTTGAAAGCCCCCCGTCTGGAAAATTGAATTCCATCGGGTTTTCGAAGGGATACAGTGGTTTCATGTTGTAATGGCATGAAATAGAATTCACATATGCATATTGAACTCAATCACACAACACTCCCGAATCTCAGACATGATAAACATCCCGAAAATCCACATTACTGGGTTATTTAATCCACAGCACTCATAAAATTCGATCCCACCAATCACAAAGCTGTAGTCGAGACAGCAACCGACGATCCATAAAAAGCCCATTATCGTAGTTATAAATCCCAAAAATGTGATTATTTTATAACTAAAATGATAGTACACGAAATTCAGGAAAATTTAAGTTTAATGATTTAGATGCTAAGGGACGATGTACTGACATAGTATAATTTTCCAGAAATTTAGCATTCCGTTATCTTCCCCAACAAAACCTCGAGCCATGATGAATGGGTCAGTGACGGTATTCTCTCAAGTGCGAGTCGTCGGATACTTTCTCAATGCACTTTAATACCCAACGTTACGAAGACAATCATACCAACGAGCCAAGTGATGATCAAAACGATCTTAGACATACGAGGGAGGGATTATAGAAGACAACAACGCGTGGTCGTAGAGTCCATCATAATATAGTTATTATCCGGTACGTAGGGCGAATGCGGGTGAGAGAGAGAGAGAGAGAGAGTTATAACGAGCAAGTGAGACAGATGGCAAGTATTGGCCTCGGGGTCTTAAGGATAAAAGCGACGAACCCGGCATTAAAAACCAATTTTTGGTCCCGAAAAAACCTCCGCCCCGCAACGTAATAACAGGCCTCGTAATCTATAGTAGGTTTTCTGTCCACGGAAGACGTGGACGACGGTATAACATACACACAAGGGTGGGGTAAATCTCTACATCTCTTGAAAGAGCCACATAGCTATAGAAGTGGATAATCGAGTAAATTGATGGCTACAGCATCCCACCGGTCAACGACGTCACATACTTTTTCGTTTTTCAATTAAATTTTGTAAAGATCCCTAATAATAGAACATGGATGATCCAACAGCTGTCAAACGTTTCAACAATTTTAGCGAGCTCATAATTTGGCAAAGGGATATAGCTTATCTCTATTAATAACCGGTGAGGGCCACTCAACGAAACTTCCTGGGGTTCTTTGTTCCTCCCGGTCGGATTATCCCAGTTCCTATTATATTTGGCAAAATCGTGAATTGCGTAATACGAGGTGGAGCCATTTGCGGAGGTATCCATTGAATTTTCGACTGTAAAGCTAGAGGC